GGAATTCCCGCATGACAGCCCGTTCAAAATCGTACTCAACTTTTGCAGCCAGATACCAAAGGAGTTTGATGTAGCCAATGTGGCAGCTGGATTTGAGTTTCTCAATGCCTTCACGGATCAGAGTTTTGTGCCGCCATCGCATGAGAGCTACAAGGTTACAGATGCTGTGCTGCGCCTAAACAATGTGTCCATTTGGGAGGCTGCCATGGCTGTCAGTCCGGGCTGTGCGGATTTTGTGAAGCGCTGCTTTTGGGGCTACACGGAGTTTCCGTGTAACCAGAGCCACGAATATTTATCCTTTATACCCACAACGGCATTCCTTGGCCCCTGCTGCTCGTTCAACTACAATCCGCGCAATGCCAGCTTTCTGCCCTTCTCCGCCAATATCTTTGGCATGGATGGCGGTCTTACCTTCATTGGCGCTGAGGGCTCTGAGCGCAATCTAAGCACCGGCCTCATTGTGCTTGTTCATCATCCCATGGATTATGTAACCGAGACAGCTGCATCGGTCACCATAACTGCCAGATCCGAGAGCTTTGTCGAGGTCTCGCCCACCGTGCAGACCTCCTCGACGGAGGTGCTCGAGCTGTCGGAGAGCAAGCGCGATTGCCTCATCTCGGATGATGTGCAGCAGCGCAACTATCGTCAGGCATCCTGTCTGCTGGCCTGCCAGACGGAGGCCATTGGCAAGCGCTGCGGCTGTCATCCCTACTTGCTGCCCATTGTGAGCGAAAAGTTCAAGGAGTGCGATCTAAACGATACCTTCTGCTATTCGGATAACTATGGTAAGCTGAAAAGACTTTATATTTAACTGAGAGATTAACCAAAAAGAACAACTTGACTCACTTCCCACACTTACCATCTTATTTATTCACTTTCTTAACTTGAGCTAGAGAAATTGTTCAGTTAGCTACCTTCAATGCCATTGTCAGGGTGCGCCGTGTCCTTCGCCTTGTGTTTGACATATTTCACGCTCTTGCGAATCGCTTTTGTGGTGGATTGTGGTGTGTATGCCGCGTTGTTCTGTTTGCTCCAGTTACATCATTTATAATTTATATTAAATATTCAAAATGCGTGCCCGTTCGCACAAGTGTGTTCCTTCACACAAACACTTGGAACTTGCTCTCGACAGTTCGACTTGAACTAAAATTTTCTCCTTTAAGTCGCTTCGGTATGCATAACACTTACCTTACAACATTTGTTTGGGGTATAAATAATATGTTTCGGCAAGCGCAAAACCAAGAGCTTCTGACATATGATCTAACTCTAAGAGTAACTAAATTAGGTGACACTTTGCAAAATTAGGGTGACAATTAAGCCACAATGAAGAGTATTTAAATATACTGAATGATTTGATTTAGAATTACGCACTATTATATTCTCCATATCTTATCATATTATCTAAGGACTTAACTTTGCAAGCTTTGGAATTGTTCTCTTTATAATTTTATCTCAGGAATTTGACCTTTCAAGAAGGGATACAAATTCAAGCAGCAATTAGCTTATTTTTATGCCTAAGCAAATTATTTGTCTTCATTTTGTGGAACATACTTTGATACATTTCGTTTTTTTTTTGCTAAATCGTCTATTTTATTTAAAACAAATTTACTCGCAGACAATTTTAAGAGCTTACGCTGTGATCAGTGCTTGCCAAATTGCTATGACGTCACGTACTCAACGCTATCCTATAAAACAGACCTTAACCTGCATCAATTCTCCGTGAGTAACTTTTAGTAAGTATCCAATCTAAATATATATTATTTGGCATTCACTTAACAACCAATAATTGCCGTAGCACAACGGAGCTGCTCAACAATGACAGCTTTGTGTTGCGTGTCTATTTGGCCAAGCAGGTTGTGCCAGTAATACGAAAGGTGACGGTTATGTCGTGGATTGGACTGTTGTGTAAATGCTTGGTGTGCTTTATCCCAGCTACTAGCCTCTATTTATTTTTACATAATTGCAGCTGACTTGGGCGGCATTTTCAATCTGTGTCTGGGTCTGAGCATGATATCCATAGTGGAGTTCTTTTACTACTGCACTTATCGCTTATACGTCAACTATCAGCAGCAAAGGGAGCTGCATCTAAAACAGGCTTGGAAATAGTCGCATTTTAACATAGCATATATCATTTAATATAAAACTTAACTATATGTGGGATTTATTGTTTTTTCTTTTTTGTTTTCTGCGTTTGTTTGGGCGCTTTCCGCTTTGTGGCCACCGGCGTTTGCTTCTCGACCGCCTCATCATCGCTGTCACTGTGAGATATTGAGAACTTAATTACAGGCCGCGCAATGTGTATATATTGTATCAAAACTTACCCTACGGTGGGCATCTGATCAAACATATCCTCATATTCGGTGTCCAGCGGCGTTGTTTTCAGTGCTCGCTTCTTTTGGCTACGCGTTTTCACTTCCTGTTCTCCTTCATTCTCATCATCGCTTGACTCTTTCCGCAGCTCCTCTGGCAGTTGCCTAATAAGCACTTTGGTTGCCTTCGACTTCACATAGCACTGATACAGCAGCACCGTCGAGTCGGCCTCATGCACACGCACATAGCGATCGAGGGAAGCTGAGCACAAGTACTTGCCCGTCTCATCCAGATGCAGGTCGCTAATGCCGCCCGTGAATCCTTTGTAGGTGTGTACATGGGTTTTCATGCGGCGCGTGTCAAATGCCTGAACAAAAAATTAACAAATTAAAGTTGTCCACTATCATTTCTGAAACTTACCTTCAAAACGCCCATGGTAGTGCCTGTATATATGTAATTGCCGCGCGCCACCAGCGCCGCGAAGCTCATGCCGTGCTCCTCACTGGCAAAGTGAGAAACTGGACGCCGCTGCTTTCGCGTATCGTAGAGCCTCACATAGCCATGGCGCGAACAGGTGGCTAAAACGTTCGGGCCATCCACGAAGCCAATATCGCTATCCCAAACGGGCACCTCGAGTTGCAAATAATCGTTGGGCAAATTCTTTGAGCTAAATATTTGCTTGCCATCGGCGCTCAAATCGTAAACTTTTAGATTATTCTGTCGTGCCTTGCCGCCGGTAGCTACAATGTGCGTAGCCGATGAGCACTGACGCAAATGATCCATATGATCGCCTGTGTTGATAATGAGGGGCTCTTTCTCCTGCTCCTCCTCCTCCTCGTCCACTGCATCAAGCGACAAGCTCTGTATTTGTCCATTGCCAATGCCAGCAATTAAATTGTTGTTATAGCGCGCCAGACCTACAATTGGAGCGCCTGTAAAATTAACTCGTCGCGTGCTGATGCCACCGCCAATTCCAAGCGAATTGAGTTCGGCAACGTTTTTAGCTCGACCGAGCAGAATTTCGGTTTGCGCTTCATTTCCAAAGGCCAACGTTGTCACACGCGATTCCTTGTCGAGGGCGCTTATATCGCTGAGATTTGACTGAGTATGTGGATTCTGCTCAGCAGCAGGCAGCAGATCTGCAAAAAGTGTACAAATGAGCGCCGGCAGCAGGGCATGGGGTTTGACTTACGTTTAAAGGAGCCTGTGTGTGTGCCCACAAACAATTCATGTTTGGCTGTGTAATTGGGATGTTTCAGGTTCGCTGTAGTCCACTTCATGTTGTTAAATCGCCTTTAAAATTTGGTTCTTTGACAATAAAACAACTGGCAACTATTAGCGAGCAGGCAAAACAAATGCAACACGTGCAGCGCCTAATGTGTGTGAGCGAGTCAGCCCTGCTTTTTGTTCTGTACTGCAAAACGATAAGTTGCAGTAGTTTCCAACACTGATTACTTATCGTAAAACACACACTAGCGATGGACGATATATATCGCCAAAACAGCTGGCGGCTTTTAATTTCAAAACAAAAACACGCTGAATTTTTGTTTTTATATAATTACTGTTAATAATGGCACTTACAAAGGTCTACGATGCGGCCACTGTGTTTAAACACTTAAATGGCATCATAAATGTATATAAGCCCGCTGGTATTAAGGTTAAGCACGTGCGCAACGCCATTCTGAGCAACATTTGCAAAGGTGTGTGTAATAGAAATAAGCGCTAGGAGCTAAATTAAAAAAATTCTTATTTCACAGGACTTAATGAACTGGAGCAGAGAGAACCACGTAAGTTACCGAAGAGCAGACTGCTTCTGGGCACTGGCACTGCCGCGGACACTGTCCTGCATAAGATAGCTGAAGATACTGATCTTTCGGATCACATACTAGCCGCTGGCCCACGATACATGCCCGATGACATTCGCTGTGCCGCCGTCGCCTCACTTGGTAGGCACACAAGCGGCGTCTTGTGTAAGTATTTAGTCTCGTACCTTTAATTGAAAACTTAAGCCATTTTGTGTTGACAGTGCTCGGCCTGAACAATGGACTGAAACAGTCGAGCCTCATACAGCGCAATCGGCCGGTGCGCGTCTACCATGTGACCGCTCGCATGGGTACCGCCACAGAGAATCACTTGCCCGATTCGCACGTCACGGTGCGCGCTAACCATCGTCATGTCACCGCAGAGCGCATTAGCGGCCTGGCCTCTTCCATGCAAGCCTCACACCAGCGCAAAATGTACGAACTATGCGGCGTCGATCTACAGACGCAGGCGGCCTACGAGCTGGCCTGCAAAGGCCTTCTACGGCCTGCCGACAACAGCCAGCCGGTCGTCTATGGCATCAAGCTGATACATTTTGAACGGCCTCACTTTACGCTCGAGCTGCATACCATCAACGAGAGCGAACAGTATATGGCGGCCCTGGTGCATGACATGGCCATAGAGCTGCGCACGGTGGCACACTGTTCGCAGCTGCGTTGCATACGTCACGCCCACTTTGATGTGATGGACAGTCTGCTGAGGCACGGCTGGCATCTGCCGGGCATCGTGAGAAATATGAGGCAACAGCGAGATGTGCTTGAAGCTCATCCGCAGTTGTTGGAGCAACAGCGCGTGGATCTGCACGCTGCGCCACAATAGGCTATTAAGAGTAAATTAATTGTAAAATAGTATTTCTTGTAAAGAAATATTTTATAGTTTAACAAGTTATAAATTATATTCATAAGTTTAAACTGCAGTCTGGCTATGGCAGTGGGCCAGCGTCAATTTGTCATGCTCGAATAGATCACGCTGCAGCTTATCGTGCAGCTTCTTGCCAGCTACAGAGTCCTGTACCTTTTCTAGCACATCCACCGCCTCCAGTACATGGGATCGAGCCAGCTCCAGTTGCAATTTTGCCTGTGCAGGTTGTCTACGCGCCTGCTCCTCCAGCGTATGTGCCATCTCAATCAGAATGACACTCACATAGATGGCCAGCTTGATGCTGTGCGGATCAAGGCATTGGCAAACATTGTACAGCTCCTCACATAGTCGCTGCTTGCGACCCAGCTGAAGATCGCTTAGCTCGGTCAGCTCCAGGCCCGGCTCATGGCCGTAAAGCTGAATAAGTGTATGCTTCAAATTGAACATGTGAAAGTGATTGGGATGCAGCAACTGGGACAGCCGTGCCAACAGCAATTCCACTTGACTGGCCGTGGGTCGGCCGGCCAATAGCTGGTCCACCTCTTCGGTCATGTGGGTTTGCACTTCGGTCACATAAGCAGCATCCAGCAGGACGGGGCAAGTGTCGCACTTCCATTGGGTCTGCTCGTTGAGTGGGTCCAGCGGCAGCTGCACGCCCACGCACGACTTGGACACATCGCCCAGGCAGCGCATGGCGCTCACATAGCTGCCGTACTCGGTGGGATCCTCGCAGCGCGCGCAGCGGCAGCTGAAGTGCTTGGTCATGCGCAGATGGTGTTGCCGCATTTGCGTGCCCCACAATATGTTCGTGTAGGTGATCTTCAGGTGGTCGCCCGTCTTCATATCGCAGCCGGCGCGCACCGCAATGCGCTGCGTGACAGAATCGAACTGAAAGTAGCAATTGGGCTGGCAGGCGTGCTCCATCATGCAGGCCTGCCGAAAGAGTCCGCTCAGTTCCACACCCGTCGCCAGCTCGATGACCATGTAGTTGGTCTCTATTATGCCGCACAGGCGATGCAGCAACTCCGGCTCATAGTCGCTGAGCTGGCAGCACTCACGGTTTTTGCTCTGCTTGAGGCGCTGCAGAAAGCGCTGCTCCAGATAGCTAACAATGCGCTGTTCCGCCTCCTGCTGCAGCTCTGTGCCCAAGCGTTCCTCTGCATGTGACTGCATCTCCAGCAGGGCCTGCCAGCGCTCCGGCTGTTGCCGCTGCAGTAGCAGGCACTTCAGCACCAGCAGCGCATCATGACGGTAATAGTCATGCAGAGCACGTGCGTCCGACTTGGCTGTGGGCGCAGTGCCTAGGCTGAGCACACTGCACTCTAATTTCTCGTGCACGCAGCTGGCACTGCAGACGGGCCAGCGACAGCTGTTCGGAAAAAAGAGATTACACTATGCTACAGAATGGTGATTAGAGTTTTTCGAGTTTGTTAAGATCTTCCATCCAGGTGTTTCCTTTGATAATAGCTATTATTTTTCAAAACTTGTTCCCGCTTTAACAGAATAACACTATGCTACATAGTAGTATTCGCAGTGAACCGCTCGTTAAAGTGTTTTGCTTATAGATTCTATTAGTAATATCTATTTTCACGGGTCACCTCGAATTCGGAATTTTGTTGCACAGTGTTAGATACTCACTTGCGGCACTGATGCTTGCCCAGGCGACAGGGCGTATAGCAGCCCACACAGGGCACAATGCTGGCCGATTTCTCGTGTTCGGTGAGAAACCACTTGGGACCCACGACAAGGGGCTCCTCCACAAATATAATCTGCTTGGCCTTTATGTCCTGAGTGGCCACCAAGTAGCGTCCCAGCTGCTCGTCCTGCTGCACCCGAAAGGGCCGGCAGCAGCTCTTGTGCTGTGGCCAATGCTGCTTCTGGTGCTCCCCGTTGCAGTAGCGCACCATCTTGCAGCGGGTGCAGGTGAGCGAAGCGGCCACATCGCAGACGGCACAGTTGGGACTCAGAGCTGCCATTCCAATGATCACTTCACGGCTTTTCCAATCGCACTGATGTTACGTGGCCAGAGAAAATCTCATTTTGTTTCGAGTTGCAAGTTATATTCTTTCACGCGGCGCCCTCACAATTTATTTTTAGCTTGTTTCTCCAAACACCTTCCTCTGCTCACGCGGCGTCTACCAAGTGCGCTCTTCAGCTCGTTCCCAAACAATGTGAAAAACTCTCTGTTTTGAAATGCGCGTCTATATAGAAGTGTGAGCAATATATGTGCATATATTACTGCCCGTCTTTGCCCGGATCATCGTTTATTTCTCAATTTTTATACAAAATTAAATCAGCCCAAACTACCATGTGGTCCACCTAGCATTTTGATAAGAAACCTTTAGAAAACTTTCAAAATAGTTCCTATGCTCCATTCGGGCAGACTTCAATGCGCATACACTCGCCACTTTAAACACAGACGTATACCGAGCCTATCTTGTTAAGGCTTTGAAACTAAAACAATCTTATAGGCTAGAATTTATAAACAACATCTTCGAGCCTTATTATCCAAAGATTAACATAAAGCCTACCTTAATATATAAAAGCACATCCGCATACTACTGAATATATTTAAAATCAGGGAAAGCATACTTGCATTTTGTTGCAGCTTATCAAACTTGCTAATTGAGGTCAATTAAACTAGACGTTTTAAATACTTATTTCAGCTGCAACATTAATATTCATTAACTCAGGCTCTAAGGCCTAGGCCACTATTTTATCGTCGACTCTCAAATCTGATATCGGTTTCATTGAAAGTCCGCGATTGTATTTTAAAATTCGGCTAAACTGCATTTAAAATGGAATCCGAAATTAAGAAGTTTTATGAAGACAAAACGATTTTTTTAACCGGTGCCAGTGGATTTTTGGGAAGAGGTATAATTTCTTTTTTTTCTTCTTAGAGAGGGATACACCCAAGTTAACTAAGGCTTCATGGTCTAAAGTTTAGATAACATTATTCTCCTTCAGTTACCATTGAGAAACTGCTGCGTGCAACAGAGGTAAAGCGTATTTATGTGTTGATAAGACCCAAACGTGGCAAGGACACACAGGAACGCATTGCCGGATGGAAAACCAATCCCGTGAGTAGCCACAGCCGAGCAGAGCCGAGTAACATAACCTCCTACTCCATAGCTTTTTGAAGTGCTACTCAAAGCCAAGCCGAACATATTGGAGCGCGTGGTAGCCATAGAGGGGGACTGCAAGGAGCCTGATCTGGCCATCAGCCCGACGGATCGCGATCTGCTGACGCAGCAGGTGGACCTGGTAATGCACGGAGCGGCAACTGTCAACTTTGCGGAGCCGCTGCATGTGGCATTGGACATCAATACGCGTGCAACTTACCAGATGCTGCAGCTGGCCAAGCAGATGCACCGTTTAGTGGCATTCGTGCACGTATCCACGGCCTTTTCCAACTGTATAATCCACTTCATTACGGAACGCTATTATCCGGAGTACTTGAGCTGCAGCGCTAAAAAGGTATTGGCGCTAAGGGAAATGCTGGACAAAGACACGAATCTGTTCGATAAGATGGCTCCAGTGCTGCTCGACAGGTTTCCCAATACTTACACCTATACAAAGGCTCTGGCAGAGCAGTTGATCCAGACGGAGGCGGGGGATTTGCCGGTCTGCATCTTTCGTCCAGGTTCCAGTAGGTTGTACTAGTTAATCTACTCGATCCCAATGTAAATGCTGCTTTTACCCAATTATTCAGTTGCGGCCACCAATAAGGAGCCTTTTTCCGGCTGGATAGACAATATCTACGGACCCATTGCTATAATCCATGGATTGTTATATAGTGTTTTACGTGTCTTACCCCTCAATCTAAATGCTGAATCCAACATTGTGCCCGTGGACAGTTGTGCCAATCTGGTGCTGTCCTGTGCCTGGCGCACGGCCATGGAGGCGGCTCAGCGCAAAGAACAGGTCATTGGAAGCCCTCCTGTCATTTACAACTTTGCGCCTAGCGGTGAAAATGTTATTAATAATGCGTATGTCGTGGACGCCGTAAAAAGAGAACGTCACGTTTATCCCGTAACCCTGGCGAAATGGTACCCCTTCATGCACGCCACCACCAAGCCCCGGCTGTTCAAATTGGCAGCAATCTTTTATCATCTGCTGCCCGCCTACATGGTTGATCTATATCTGCGCCTGCGCGGCCAGAAGGCACGCATGGTGGCCATGTACCAGAAGATCCACAGGAATATCGATGTGATGCAACACTTTATGATCAACAACTGGAGCTTTGAGACATTTAACACGGATCGGCTGTGGGAATGCATGTCTGAAGCGGATCGGCAGCTCTTTGAGTTCGATATGCAATCCTTGGACTGGGATAGCTATTTGGATCGCTTATTTCTCGGCATTCGCACCTATCTGTGCAAAAAGGACTCAAGTGAAGAGTCCATTAGGCGTGGTCGTACGAAAATTAAATGGTATGTGAAGAACTTTGGGTTTAAGTTGAGAAGATTTATAAGATCTTAACTTATTTTGACTTTCAGTTTCTCTATACTTCATCGACTCTTGCAGTTCAGCCTTGTAAAATGGCTGCTAGGCCTGTAAAATTATTATACCCTTGCAGAGGGTATTATAATTTTGTCGCATAGAAGTAGACATATCCAACCCCACAAAGTATATATATTCTTGATCAGCATCAACAGCCGAGTCGATATAGCCATGTCCGTCTGTCTGTTTCTATGCGAACTAGTCTCTCAGTTTTAAAGCTATCTTAATGAAATTTTGCACGCAGCTCATATGTGAAAACCAGCTGGATCGGACCACTATATCATATAGCTGCCATAGGAACGATCGGTCGAAAATTAAGGTTTTGTATAAAAAAACATTTTGTTTATCAAGATATCTTGACCAAACTCGGCATTTATTAGTTTTACTTTACTCCTCATATATATGCAAAATCCTATTAAGATCGGACCACTATATCATATAGCCGCCATAGAAACGATCGGTCGAAAATTAAGTTTTTGTATGAAAAAACATTTTGTTTTTCAAGATATCTTAACTATTTTCCCTTCTTAGATACGGGCAAAGCACTATAAGCATTATGGAGAGGTTGGGTTTGCAAGGGTATTAGATCTTCGGCGTGCCGAAGATAACATTTCTTTCTCGTTTTAAATTGATTCTTATTGCTTTTTGAATTTTCAATAAATTAAATAAATAAATTTTTAAATTGTCAATTATTTGAAAGTCCGACACTTTCAAACAAACATTAACCATTCTTTTCGCCCCACTTTGATGTCCAATATTCCAAGGCCCCGTGTCATTTTCGACCTTGGAGCAAGCTAGGCAGTATGGTGATGAAGTCAGTCAGTCTGGACAAACTCTTTAGTATATATAGATAGATATTTATGTGAATGCACAACGTCGATTCGCCAAGCGTGCGTTATTGAATGGAACTAATCTTGCAATTTTAATGATAAATATGAAGGTTGCAGTCGGCTGTAACCAACTGCGCAATACTCTCTATTTAAGGGTCATCATAATATATATGTATGCATATGTATGCTAAGCTCCAGCAAGATGGCTTTCAAATTAAGGGCCTAGTTCTAATAGACGATCTGGCTATCGATATTGTTAAGGAATTTATATACTTAATTGGAACATCTCCGAAGCTTCTTTCTTTGAAAGAATTTGAAATCAAACAGACTACAAATTCCCAAACAATTTTAATGATATGGTTCTTTGGATTTTTATTTTCGAAACAACAAACGAATTAACTGCGTAATGTAACTGCTCTATGGAAAAAGGCCAACCTATCCCCATATCTGACAACTAGAATAGGGAAATAAGGATTTCCGGATATTCTGAAAACTACTGCGACTGCGCGATTAGAAGCCACGCATGGTGGGCATTTACGAGAAGATCCACAGGCATATCGATGTGGATCCAAGGAGAATCCAAGTGAAGAGTCTATAGAGCTCGATCGTAAGAAAATGAAACGGTACGCGAAGAGCTTCGGCTTAAAATTAGAACGATATATATATATCATTTATGAGACCTTAACTTATTTATACTTTCAGTTTTCTTACGCTTCATCGACTCTTGCAGTTCAGCCTTTTCAGCGTTGGCATTGGCATTGTAAGATGGCTTTAATCATAATTTAATTAGATATGTATGTGTATAAAGAAATGCCTGGGTTTGGCACTTGCAGCCACATGGCGTGTCAATATAATCACACGTTTTCTTTAATAACTTAAATGTTTCTTTACTAATCTTGATGAAATTTTCATCAGTAGATGAATATTATGCTATAGCATATTTCTATTTTATCAAAAAATATATTACAATTATGGCTTATTTGACGTAAAATAAATAACTTGATCTATCTATACTATATACGGGGAAATAAACTCGCATCAAAGAGCACCTAGAGAACCTCGATCAACATTTCAGGTCTCTAGTTATTAAAGGTCGGACGGACGATGTGGCTAGTTTGACTCGGCTATTGATGCTGATCAAGAATATATATACTGTATGGGGTCGAAGCTGCTTCATTCTGCCTGATACATACATGGGCACAAAACTATAATACCCTTTTTACCTATTTTGAATGGGTTGGAATTTTAAATGTCACATCCGAATTTACTTGAATTGTTTTGAATCTTTTCAAATTTTCTGATTGAGGTCAATAATATTGGAATTTCTAAACCAGGCACATATTCCCGTGCTTAAATTCATGAGTTAAGTCAGAGCCGTGTTTATATCAGCTCGAGCAAACATGAAGTTAAACTAAACTTTATTTATACATGACTTGAGCTGCTTTCTTAATATTCATGAACTCAGGCTCTAAAGTCTAGGAACGAATTTAGCGAATTTGGCGTCTATAAAAGGTGCTGCAAATTTTTAAAGCTAGTCATTTCAACGTCGACTCTTAAATCTGATATCGGTTTCTTTGAAAGTCCTGCAGTTTTACTTAAAGTTTCGAGAAAAGTGCATTGAAAACATTTTAAAATGGAATCCGAAATTAAGAAGTTTTATGAAGACAAAACGATTTTTTTAACCGGTGCCAGTGGATTTTTGGGAAGAGGTATTATAAAATATGTTTTGAAGAACTGCACGAATTTCACATCAGTATTTAAATAAAACGGGCTTTCCAAAGTGTTGCATTATCTGAATACTTCTAATGTTTGGTTCGAGTTCGAAACTCTGTGTCAGGGTCTAACGTTCAGGAACATTATCTTTCAGTTACCATTGAGAAACTGCTGCGTGCAACAGAGGTAAAGCGTATTTATGTGTTGATAAGACCCAAACGTGGCAAGGACACACAGGAACGCATTGCCGGATGGAAAACCAATCCCGTGAGTAGCCACAGCCGAGCAGAGCCGAGTAACATAACCTCCTACTCCATAGCTTTTTGAAGTGCTACTCAAAGCCAAGCCGAACATATTGGAGCGCGTGGTAGCCATAGAGGGGGACTGCAAGGAGCCTGATCTGGCCATCAGCCCGACGGATCGCGATCTGCTGACGCAGCAGGTGGACCTGGTAATGCACGGAGCGGCAACTGTCAACTTTGCGGAGCCGCTGCATGTGGCATTGGACATCAATACGCGTGCAACTTACCAGATGCTGCAGCTGGCCAAGCAGATGCACCGTTTAGTGGCATTCGTGCACGTATCCACGGCCTTTTCCAACTGTATAATCCACTTCATTACGGAACGCTATTATCCGGAGTACTTGAGCTGCAGCGCTAAAAAGGTATTGGCGCTAAGGGAAATGCTGGACAAAGACACGAATCTGTTCGATAAGATGGCTCCAGTGCTGCTCGACAGGTTTCCCAATACTTACACCTATACAAAGGCTCTGGCAGAGCAGTTGATCCAGACGGAGGCGGGGGATTTGCCGGTGTGCATCTTTCGTCCAGCTTCCAGTAGGGTCCACTAGTTAATCCTCTAAAGCTTATAGTAAACGCTCCTTTTTCCCAAATGCTCAGTTGTGGCGACCAATAAGGAGCCTATTTCCGGCTGGATAGACAACATCTACGGACCAATTGCTATACTCTATGGGGTATCATATGGTATTTTACGTGTCGCCCCCCTCAATCTGAATGCAGAATCCAACATTGTACCTGTGGACGGTTGTGCCAATTTGGTGTTGTCCTGTGCCTGGCGCACGGCCATGGAGGCGGCTCAGCGCAAAGAACAGGTCATTGGAAGCCCTCCTGTCATTTACAACTATGCACCCAGCAGTGAAAACGTAATTAATAATAGGGAATTCATAGGCGCCGTGAAAACAAAACGTCACGTTTTTCCCATGACGAAGGTGATATGGTATCCGTTCCTGCACGCCACCACCAAAATCTGGCTCTATAAATTGGCAACCATTTTTTATCATTTGCTGCCCGCCTACATGGTTGATCTATATCTGCGCCTGCGCGGTCAGAAACCACGCATGGTGGGCATTTACGATAAGATCCACAGGAATATCGATGCAGTCCAACACTTTATGATCAATAGCTGGAGCTTTGGGACACCCAACACGGATCGGCTATGGGAATGCATGTCTGCAGTGGATCGGCAGCTCTTTGAGTTCGATATGAAATCCCTGGATTGGAATAGTTACTTCGATCGCGCCTTGTTCGGCATGCGCACTTATCTCTGCAAAGAGGATCCAACCGAAGAGTCCATACAGATCGCTCGTAAGAAAATGAACCGGTACGTGAAGAGCTTCGGCTTAAAATGAAGACGGTATATGTATCATTTATGAGATCGGAACTTATTTTTAATTTCAGGTTTCTTATTCTTCATCGACTCTTGCAGTTCAGTCTTTTATGCGTTGGCATGGCCATTGTGGGATGGCTGCTGCGCCTGTTCCTATAAGAATTTAGTATATATAACCAAATATAACATAAGCTTAAGTACCCAAATAGTTTTTGGCTTACTGCTAAGGAATTGGATATTTGTTTCATATGATATACTCATACATATATTTTTGTTACGGAATAAATGAATAGGCCTTTCAAAAGTACATCAAGAGCATCCAGCCATTCTATATTAGCACCAGAGCGTAATATATAGATGTATAGCAAATGATATCATATCAATATTATCATGTAGAACTTCAATTTAAACAATTGTCTTTTATTAAAATTAAAAATTCCATGATGACAAACAACTTTTATTTAGTTTTTCTCTTTTCTCCAAGCAATACAAAACAATTAGCGTAGATTAGAACCTTGCAAAACATCTGACGTTATAATCGGATTTTCATCTTTGCAGTTTTCTTATTGTGGTTTAATAATTCAAGTTTCAATATGGTTACGAAATGTCTTTAAAAATCTCTGATTATTATTTGTTCAATGCGTGTGCTTTGTTTATTATAAACTTATATAATTTATAGTCTATTGTATGGGGCATTATCTTAGTACGGCTCTTGGGGCGCGTCCAAGTCCCGGTAGTGTGATCTGGCGCGATAATCAAAACCACCGGGTCTGCAAGCAACGAGAATGAATGTTGTTTAGAGTGAGGAATTATTTGTACACAAATCTTATATAGTAAAACCAAACATTTATTGTAATTCGTCGCAAGTTTGCGGTTGCATTATTGAAAGCAACAGAATCGATATTTTATTAATTGAAAAATTAAAATCTTTAATTAGGTCCTTTGGGGTATTCATTTTTTACAATCGGCATATTGTACAAAGATAAAAATAAATATCTTTAGACATAAATTATGTAATAATTTGCGTTTAGTTTTTTGTAGGTCCCCATTAGCTAGACATTGCTTAAATTGCTTTTTAGAACTGAGCTTGAAAATTGCATTTAGCGTTTATTATCTGTGTGTGGTTTCTGCTTTTTGTGCTAATCAATTAATTAGTCAAACATATCGGAATTAACGGGCGCATCCAAATCATGGTAACCGATAAGCCGGCGTTGGTGTTCCAAGGGCATTTCTCTGCAAAAAATTTGCGACACAAGAAAGTTGTGACAAATTTCGTTTTAAGACCAACAACAAAAATGAAAGCAAAATTATAGAAGGCATATAGAAAATGTAGGACAAATACACTAGGGTTTCTTATCGAACTAATGCTGTGGGTGTGTCAGAAAAATTAATTAAGAAAAACCTTGTCTGCTTGCACAACAAGAGAAGCAAGTCTCTGAAAATGGTTCAACCTACTCCTAAAATACTCTAATGTTAGCATTCAATGCGATTGCGAATTTCTTTCTTCATAAGAATTACAAAATTAAAGCATTGCAGGCGGTCTAATGTATAATTATATTTCAAGATCAGACAACGTTATGGCCACTGTCACTGGGACATAAAAAGTCGGCAATATGAATACATTTCAATAGATTTGCACAAAATAAAAACAAACATTTCATTAAATAAAATAAATATATAGATATATATATCACATAAAAGCCTAAATATAACAACTGTTGGTTTTATTAAAGGCACGAAGGCATATCGAGGATCATGAAGGCTGCAAAAAGCAAGAACCATGAACCGATTTATGAACCGGTTTGTGAGACAGACATAGACAAAGGTTAATAGACATCCAATTATCCCCTAGAGTCAGGAGCTAAGCAGCTGCTTTCAAGCCTTTTGAGTTCAGCTCCCATCTGATTCAACCTGCTTAAGGCTAAATCCCTAACGGACTTAAGGCTATGCAAATAAATAAAGCAACTGACCTGCGCACTGGTGGAAAATTGCGTCCGCCGCGTCCACCGCCGCCCATCATGGGCGGTGCAAATCCGTAGGGCATAGCTGAGAAGGGCGGATACATGGGCGGCCGATAGCTGCAGAAGCAAAAGGCATTTAATAGTGCAATAACAATTTTATATAGTTTAGCCTACTCACCCGCCGGCACCACGACCAGACTCTGATTCAGTACGCTTGGAGCTGCCCGGATGCTCTGGCAGCTGTGGCCGCTTAGGGTCACGCAAGTAATTGTTGAAATATTGCACCTCCTTGCGCACCTCGTCCACCTTCTCCTCGTGCTTGTTGAAGATGTGCTTGCGTATGAACTCGGGACCCTTGAACTTTTTGCCCGACAAAGGGCACAGCCATTTATCCTTGGCCAGTTCCTGTGTATTGGCCTGCACGAATTTCTCCACCTCGGTTTCGGGATTCTTGGCACCCAGTTCTTTGATATCATCATCGCTCAGCTGCACGCTCTTGGTTAAAAACTGCTGCAGCTTACCGTCGTAGGCCTTGATGTATTCCTGGACATCGTTGCTCGTGACGCGCATAGGCGGTGGACCCCGTGCGTGTATAATACCGCAGCGATTTGGCATCTCATCCTCGTACGGATATTCGCAGTGATTATAGTAGTCCACCGAGTGCACAATGCGCAAATAGAGCACCAGACGATCCAGAACCGAAATTAGCTGCTCGTCCCGTTCAATGGGCTCGCCCTCGCCATCTTTGTTATCGCCGGCCAATCCCAACAGTTCCTCCTCCTCAGCGGAGGCTTCTTCGATGAGGTAATCGGTTATGTTCTGAAGCACAGGATTTTTGGAATTGAAGCCATATGACGTTGAATTGCCGCCGCTGCCATTGGTTGCGTCCGCGCTGGGTTTGCTTTCTGCATCCGGCTGCTGCTGCGTGGGATCTGCCTCGCTCCACAGCTTAAAACGTTCATCCAGATTCATGGCAATCTTCGCGCACAGCTTGATGTCAGCGCGTACAATCTGCTTGTGCGCCGTGATGCCATTGGCGGGACGCACACGTCGACTCAGATCCCGATTGACAATGGCGCCCATTTCGCAGTCGCGCAAACGCTGATTGTTCAGGCTCCAACAGATCTCCTTGATGTTAACGTCGCGCGTAAAGGTTATCCAGCCGCGGCGATACCAGCGTCGCTCCACCAGCGGATCGGCAATAGCCACGCGCAGATACCCACTAAAGCGGGTGCAGATTGCTTCGATTTCTGCCTTCGTGATTGACGGCGCCAAATTGCGTAGGAATATGGACGAGGTGCGATGCAATGCACGTGGCTGCGGTCCGTCCTTTACCTTGTCCAAATCGATTGTCTCGGTCACATCTTCCGCTGTTGATTTCGTCTCCAGCTCGTTTTTGTCTGTTTTCTCCGCCTCCTCCCCATTTTTAGCTGCTGTTGGCTCGTCCGTTTGCAGCTCAGCTGGCTGCTCCGTATCTTTTTCCTGCTGCTCTTCGCTCAGTTCACTTTTGATAGCTGCCGCATCCTGGAGGGCAGTGCCTTCCTCAGGCTGGGGACTGTCGGGTGGGATTGGCGGATTGGCTTTGGCCACCGTTGCCGCCTCCTCTTTGTCTTTTTGTGCCTCCGCTTTTTGATCGGCGCGCAAACCCTCCTCCACATCATATTTCGCTTTCAGCTTCTCATCGTCTGAGTCCGAGTCCGACTCGAAACTGGATGAGGATGAGCTGTCATCGTCGCTGCTGTTGCGATTTCGTTTCTTAATTTTTTTCTTCTTTAGTTTTTTATCGCTGCCGCTTTTAATCGAGTCATCATCGCCTTGCACTTTGGCCGGCTTCGCAGCCACTATTTCGGTTTGCTGCTCGTTTTTAGCGGCCTCTGGCACCGCAGCCATCTCATCGTTCTCATCATCCCAGTTCTCCTCATCAGAGTTAACAGGCCGCAGGCTCTTGCGCTGCGGCGACACAACCACTGGCTGATCGTCATCAGCGCCTTTCTCTGATTTTGTCTGCTTGGGACTTTCAGGCTCTCGCTTGGCGACCACTGGGGCTTCTGTCGATTCCGATTTGCGCTCATATACAACTGGTGTCTCTTTGGGCTTCTCGTCGAGTATCTTAAGATCTTCATCGGTGCCGCCTTCCAGTTTAATGACACAAGTGTCCAGGACTCGCACCAAAGCATCCGCCTGCGAGGAATCCACCTTGACGCTGCCAATAGTGCCGTTCTCGAGCAGTTCCAGAAACACATCGGTGCGTCTCTGTTAACGCATGCAATATATATCAAAATATTTATATATATAAACGTACAATAAAGCCACTCTACAAGTTACCTTCAAAAAGCCGCGTTGCTCCTCGCTGCGTCGCACACTGTCTTCGGGATGGTATTTGTTTTTGAACCTGTGAAAGACAAAATTCAGTTTAAAACCAAACGTATCTTGTCCAGGTATGTCTAATATGCTATATAATATGGATAAGAGTTGAAAGTACGGCTCATGAGTGGGCTATATTTGATATATAAAGCACGTTTGTATATATAGATTCCGGCGCATCCTCTAGCTAGTGGACATCCAAGTATTTAATTAGTCGTACACAAAGTTTGATTTGAATTTTGTTTAGGTTTAGCTTTTGCATATGTACATATTACCCAAGGTCTTACCTTTGCAAGCGCATTCATAATGTGTATATGTATATGCGCTATTTGCATACGTTTATATATATTTAGGCATTTGCTCGCAACGAATTTAAATAGATCGCGGTTTCAAAAATATAAACACACCCACGGCATTGCTCGCCGGGTAATTTAAATTTTAAGTTATTCTTTCATTTTTATATAGTATGTGCTTCTATTGAGACAGAGGCAGAGAGGCAAAGGCTGAGGCCGAATCAGTGTCTCGTCTCGTCTCTGACTCTCAGTTCGCAAAACGCCATAAAACCCATAAAAAGCTGCAGAGAAAAACTTAATAATAAGTATACAAGAGGGTTATGAATTTTGTGATTGCAGTCACGCTGAGAGTTAATTTGCAATTAAATTAAAATTTAAAGAACAAATTAATTGAATGTGAAGTTGAGGACGGACCTCGTCAGAGCCTGCCACTGCGTTGGATGCGGTTGCTCTTCGCGCGTTGTTGTTGTTCTTGTTGTTGTTGTCATTTTTCTTGGGTACTCAAGACCCGCTGCTACTCACCATTCCTCATCCTTGTGCGCCACAAAGAACTCGTTTAACTGCTGTCGCTTAAAGTCCGTCTTGTATTCGGTGTATTTTCGCATCACCTCCGAGTCAGATATGTTCTCGTCCTGCGTGTCCAGAAATTGTTTTAACGTTAGCATCGCTGGCTGTGTTTGTGTGTCGCTGTTGACGACATTGGGCGCTGATTCACGGGCCGAGGACGGATGACCCGAATGCGAGTAGGCTGAGTGCAGCGATTGATAGTGATCATTCCAGGCCTGCACTAGGTACGGATCGTAGCCTGCATGGGCACAAATACCATATAGAGCTGGGGGAGTAACATTTTTTTTAAACTTACCAAAACGCGGATTAGACCTCATTTCGCTATCGCCCCAGTCGGGTCGCATGCGTTTTGCAGGCGGCATCTCACGTCCTGGCGAGCCGTAGCGCGGACGTGGTCCGGAGCCACGATAGTCACTGTAATCTGGGCGATGACGTGCGCCGCCGCCGCCACCTCCGCCTGCAGCCGAACTGCCTCGAAAAGGATTCCTAGCGGGCAGAGCAGAGCATTACACACACCCACACACACCGAGAGACCCCGCAATACTTACCGCTCGGACCACTCGTCCCGGGAATTGGCACCACCGCCCATGGGTCGACGTTCGTCCCGGCGTTCGGGCCTGTAGCTGTCGCGTTCGCCACGGAATTTATCACGCCGCTTGCGATCGTATTCATCATCCGAATCAGCCATTGGTGGTTGTCTGCAAAACACGCAGAACAGCATTAATTATCAATTATCAAGTGAAAGCTGCACATCGGCTTGTTTCACTTTTGGCACCGACATAACCTCAAACTCGTTTTGGCTCCTATTATAATCAGCCATAGCCAAGCCGAAGGCTTACTTAAAACAAGCCTTGTTCATGCAAAGAATTCAATATTTAGGCCAACAGCAATAGATGTTAACATTGCTTGTTTTTTTTTTTTTTACACAGAACACTAAATGCCGCCATCTTGCCGCCTCCGCCAGTCGTATGAAAAACGCTTACGTGTTGTCTGTGACACAATATGCAACAAGGGCATATATGGCAATATTCTAGTGTATTGCAATTGCATATGCGCAACTTATATAGCCTGATTCCGGCATATTTACCTTTTATTTCACTATTTGTAGACTTTATTCTAATTTTATTGTCTCACAGTGCGGCGTCTAAAATGGGACGTAGATATGGCAGAAATTAATATCGATATATCGATATGTTGCAAACAGTGCTGCCGGACTGCTATTAGGTTGCTGAGTGAGTGAGTGAGCGAGCAACGAAATGTTGCTAACAGAGTTGATTTTGGGCACTTCGATAAGTCGATAAGTTGACACAAAACCCAACATATTTCTAAATTCAAATTGAAAACTTGCAAATCGTTTGAACATATTTTAAATATATATATATATATATATTTTGTATTTTATTACACGTTTCATATATATCGTATATATAGACTTTTGTTATTATATTATATTTATACGTATATGTACAGCTTAGTTTTAAAACTATTTAAAGTGTTTGTGTGTAGTCTCTAAGCCTAAGTAGATATTTAATGTATGAATTAATTTCAAAAATGTATTTATATGCGCCGTAGACTTGCATATTACTCAGTTTTAGTTAATGCGCCGCCAAAAGTTACACATAAATAGCAAACTACATTAACTTGTACATATCTGTTAATGTATATATATATATACTTTTTCTGAAACTTAAGTCAAGTTATACTCGAAGTATAAAAGTTGTTTTATTTTTTTGTTTTTTTTTTTTTTTTGTATTTTGTAATTATTCCTTTTAATTCAAGTGTTATTTGTTTGTTTTGTTTTAGCAATACATAATTGTTCATTTGAGTGAAAGTACTTCAAAATTAAATGTCAGTTTGATAGATGTACTTACGATTAGGCAAGTATAAGTATAAGTATGTCTATGTAGATAGATCAATGCACCTTAAGTTCTCAATAAACAACAAGCTAACCTCTTGTGTTAGTGTACCAAATATTAAATATGCTCGATAATATAATCATAATAATAATTAAGTATGCATTTTGTAATTGTTTGTTTGGTTTAAATTCTAACAATCTCTACATCTCTCTCATTTTACTTAAAGCAAAAGAAAACTCGAAAATTTGCCAAAAATAAAAAAACTTCTTCATATCTAAAGCAGGCACGCGCTAGATTCCCTCCAAAATGTATAATCTATCTCTCTATAAGACTTGCTGCTTGCAATAGGAGCTATAATATATATAACTTAAAGGTTTTTTCTTTTGGCAGTGTAGCGTTAAATCAAAAACATTCAACCATAGAATTTCAGAGCCAAACAATAAGACTAACAATTAGGGGAAAAGAGTTTTATCAAATTCTGATTTTGTTTGTTTTTTTTTTAATTTAATTTAAAAATCCCTTCAAGTTTTCGTTTCCATTTACGTATCTTGTGTTGTTTGTCTGCCTTTCATTTAGAATATGTAATTGAATATATTATTTTTGTTATTTTGTTTTTATTTCATTTTATTTGTTCGTAACACTAAAATGCCATCAATTCAGTTTTAAGTTGTATTTTTCCGGGTCAGCTTCTTCCAGTTTCAAAAAAAGTATAGATTCTTTCAGCTAACTGCGTTCGAATAATGTGCGCTGTTTCTGGATATTCTCGTTATTTTAGATGTATTTAGTTTTTACTCGTATCGATCGTAGACTTGAACTTGTGTTTTTTTGTAATTCTATATATCGTAGATAATTATGTACTCGTATATTACTGATTGCTACACATTGCAAATGAAATTTGACATATTGACATTTTGTCTATTTTTGTATCTCTAATAATAACGTAAATCTGTACGATTAAGTATTTTATTTGTATTTTAATATTTTGTTTTGCTTTTGTTTTTGTTTTGCTTTTGTTTTGGTTTTTGGTTTGTCAATTTTGGCAGTGAGAAAACTACACAACTTAAAACTTAACTTGTTTTAGCGTACATTTTGTGATTGGAGAAGCAATATTGTTATATTCGCACAAGATCGGCTCAATAGAAATTTTGTACAATATTTCCGAGACGTATCTTGTTTCTGTGAAAAAATATGCATTGTGATTTCTTTGTTTAAATTGATTTTCATTTAGATTTATGATTTGCCACCTGCTAACCATCGAGTGCTGCAAAACAGGTACCTCTAAAAAGGCGTCAGGAGTTATTTGTTATCATATCATATCGAACTGAAAGTTGGGTTAATTAAATTGCTTTTTTCACATTTTGTGCTTCGGTTAGAGACTTGAAGGAAAAACAAAGTTCATATTGTATGTACTTTAAATGTATGTATATTTGTGGTTAGCTGCTGCTGCTAAGGTCTCGCTTGTAGTTACGTTTATTATTAATGCTCAAAAACCTTTCAATCGTGTTTCATTTGAATGTTTCGTTTGAGGTAGTTTTCAATTCAGGATCAATATCTACAAGTTGAACACAAAACTCTCGTATAATTTTGCTTCCATTTAAGGTTTAGGCTCAGCTGTGTGCTTAATATGGGGAGAGGTTTATTTTCGTCTTTTTCGGATCATAGACATATCTTCTAGGGGTAAGTTATGGGCAAAACAAGTTACAAGTTACAAGTTACACGTAACAGAAAACAGTGCATAAAAATTAAATAAACTTCTCGTTTTACATTCATTTTCGTATTTCGTTTTCATGAATTTCAAAAATCTACATAACGATTTGTTTGTTTTTTTGTTTTTGTTACTTTTCTCTTCTTTTCTTTTCGTTTCGTTTCGTTTCGTTTCTTATGCTTTGTTAGTCATATTATATGAATGGATATCTCAACAAGTTGTTACTTTATATACCTTATGTTCATCTTTATAATTTTGTCAGGTTGCTTTTTTTGTATGTTTCGTATTTGTTGCTTGTCATAATGCTTCATATCGAGCGAGAGTTACGTACATACATATTTACAGTTTGGCTTAGGCATAGGTTCTTTTAATTATATTTTTATTTATTTTTTTCTTTTTTGGGTTAATTAATAGGGTTTTAAGTGTATTATGGTATTATCAAAGTTGAAAGAAATGTTTTAGCGAGGGCGCGAGGAGTTTAATTTTTATTATTATTAATTTTTAGGGTTAATTTTTTGGTTACTTAACTAATATTTTATTCACACTTGACATGACATCAGCCTGTTTAAGTAATTTGTTTTTTAATTATGCTTTTACATATATTCGAATTTCGAATTTGTGAATTACTTAAAACGTTTTTAGCAAATCAGTTTGTATCATCTAAAGCTATTTCATAGCGCGTCTTATGTTTCAATTATTTTTCTTGGGCTTTACTCTTAAGTTTCACCCATTTTAAAATCATTTCTGTTTGTTTTTTTTTCTTCGTTTTTCTAGCTTTCCAATTGGCAAAACTAAAACTTGGACTACTACAAAAATAACTAAAGTCAATTTGCATTTCCCATCAGCCAAGCTGTTTCGCAATACTTCACACTCTCATTCTGTCAATTTTCTTTTATATTCCGAAAGAAAAAAAAAATAGTTTCATAGTTTGCTTTTCCAATATCGCTTTCATTATAATTTCTTATTAGCACACACATTTGGTGAAAAGCCAACTTCACAGCCGTTTGCTTCGCATATGCGAATTTCATTCAAATTCTGCATGTTATTTATCGACCTATCGACTTATCGATTTATCGATACTAATTCTAACGAGTCTTTGCTTACATATCGCCTTCCCGCTCAACTTCAAACTGTTGCCAATTCTTCAAAAGCAAATTATTAATTACAAAAAAAATCATAATAAAATTAAAAAGAAAAACACACTTCTGTTTATGCTTGATTTTTTTTTGTTGTTCAACATATTTTCATGTATATTGTGTATATTTTTGTTTTGTTGTTGTTGTTCCATTTTCGTATTTACGTAAAATAGTAAAAATTTTTAATATTATGATAGACTTTTTCTTGTTGTTTTTTTACATTATTGTAAAACTACAAAACAAATTATGTATAATAATTAAACGCGCGTTAGGCAGACTAAAAAAAGCTTAAATTTAAAATCAAGTGTATTTATAATAAAAAAACTTAAGAGTGAGTTTTGTTTATGTTTTTCTTTTTTTTGTTTTCGGTTGTTTCTTTCACTAATAGGTCGTATTAATTATATGCATAATAATTAAATTATTCACTGTGTTTTTGTTTTTGCTTCCATTTTTACTGTGCAGATAACAAATAATTGAAATTAAACCATTTAAGTTCTAATTGTTTATATTTTATATATGTTGCTTTGCTATTTTCAATTGTTGTATACAAAATTCAATGTTTATAAATTAAATTTACTTAAATGTATATGTGTCAGTGTATGTGTGTGTGTCTGTGTGTATGTGTGTGTGTGTGTCTGGGCACTGTATGCGAAAATTATATGTATATATATTTAATTAGCATAATAATTATAATAATAGTAGTAAAATTAAAAAATTGCACATTTCAAAAATTTATCTGCCACTTTTATACACAATTAAAAAAGGGTTCTTTTAATTTTACATTATTTTTGTTTTTTATGTTTGTGTTTATTATTTTTTTTTTGTTTTGTCGTATTTTACAAATCGCTACTAAAATTAGAATAAATTTGATTTAAGTTAAAATAAGGCCAACAATTGTTTACTTTTTCTTCGTTTTTACAATTCAAACGCAAAAGCAGCAAAAAACGATAAAAAAGCATAGAAAAAACTAATTAAATTGCATTAAACAAATTCCAAATAAGTTTAAAAAAATTGCCAAAAATATATATATTTTGCACGATTGTTTTTTTTTTGTTTAAAAACAAAATTTTGATTATGCCAAATGGTTTTTTGTTTTCAATAAAATTTAATTGCTATATAATTTACAAGTATTTATAAATTTTCGAATTAAAATGTTTAGTTTATAAATTAATATTGAAGTCTTTTGGTGTGTGTGTGTGTGTGTGTGTGGATGTGTGTGCCAAGTGATTGAAAATGTTGTTGTTTTTTTTTTTTTGTCAGCCAAAAGGTGCATTTAATGAATTTAATTTAAAAAAATTGTAATTTAATACCTTTAATGCCTTTTAATTTTGAGTAAAACTCCAATCACTTTTTCTTTTTTATTGTTAACAAAGTTTTTACACTTTCGCCAATTGTTGTATAGGAAAATCAAAAAGAAAATATAACTGTGTGAATTGTATTAAAAACGACGGCGCTTAATGAATGTAAATTCTCATTTCTTGTGTTAATAAAAAAATATATAAGGAGGGCATAATTAAAATAAATGTCGTTTTTAGCCATTTCATTGTGTTAAACATTTGTTAGCATTTTATACAGTTGTTTTTTACTCAGTTAATATGATTAAAAAAATATTTATAAAATCAGTCCAAGTTTTGCGTGTTGTTTGTTTTTTTTTGTTGTTTTTTGTTTAGATTTAGTTTTAGTTTTGTTTAGAGTTGGGTTGCGAATTGTGTAACTTAAACTTAGTTGCTGTCATTAGCTTTTAACTAATAAGTATTTTGTTTATAGTTCAAGGTGTTTAAATCAGATTTACTCGCTGCTTTTGAATTAGATGTACAGTTAGTTTTACATATTATACACATGCTTGTTTTTTGTTTTTTAATATTATATATAAAGTTTAGTGTTTTTTTTTTTATATATTTTTAAAATATAAACAATCTTTATTCTCTTTTGTTTTTTGTTTTCTTTTGCATGACCGTTTGACAGGCATTGAATATAGCAGAAATTATCATTTGCTTTAGTCCGATTTTTCGGGGCTGGAAATTAACAAAAGAAAATTTAATACAATTTTTATTAATTATATATATTTTAAGGTATTTTTAGTTGTTGTATTTAACTGCATAAATTCTATGCGCTTGTTTAGCTTGACTTTTTTCTTCAATTTTCAATTTGTTATGTTTTATTTATGATTTAAGCATTCTCTGTGTTTGTTAAGAATTTGTTTGTTATATAATTTTAGATGTGTCTGTATGTGTGTGTGTGTGTGTGTGTGTTTTATAATAATTTTGTTTATATTCATAATGCCTTAGGTCTAATATTTGCAGGCTTAACACTAAATAACTGCATTTTACGCTTACTCAAAAATGTTTTGCTCTGTTTTTATTTATTCTGCTTTTACATCAGATTTTCATGCTGCATATATCTCTTGTTAGATATACATACACACACACACACATATATATATATATATATATATATATATAGATCAGATCAAGCAACTGTGCCGTTACGCACTTGTTTATTAAATCCACACGCCGTTTTTTTATGTAGCTGGGTAGAAAAACAAACTATTTTGAATATGCAAAATTTTACAGTTTCTCCGGCTATATACAAATCGGTTGAATCCATTATAGAAGCGCCTAACGGTACAGGCTTGTCTGTCTGTCTGTGTGTGTGTGTGTGTGTGTGTGTGTGTGTGTGTGTGTGTGTGTGTGTGTGTGTGTGTGTGTTTGTTGTTGTATACAGCTGCCACGCACCGCCCGAAATTCACTCAATAATGCTGCTGCCGCCCAACAGTAGACTGCCCACGCCCAGACTGACGCCCATGCCCATGCCTTCCAGCAGGGGCTATGCGGTGGTCGTCGAGTTCTCCGATTTTAGGGGCACGCCCATGAGGGCCATCGCCGTCTGCGTATTGGCATACATGTTGACATTGGCGCCGCCGCCATTGGCCACAGCAGCTGTTGTGGAGCTGGCCGGGACCGCGGCCGTGATGCTGGTGCTGGAGCTGGCTGCGGCTGTGGTGGGTCCCATGGCACCGCCGCCACCGATGTAATCGCTGCTGGTGCTAACGGCCGAGACGGAGCCGCCGCTGCCTGGCGGTGGCGGCGGCGGCAGCGTGTGGCCGGGCAGTGCATGGAGCTGTTGGTGCTGTTGCTGTTGATGCAGTTGCTGTTGTTGTGCCGCTGCCGCGAGGGCCGCTTGCGAGGATGTGGACGCCGAATCGGCATCGAGGCCAGCCGTGATGGCGCCACCGACGGCGCCGCGCATGCGCTCGGCGCGACGCTCCTGCTCCTCCTGCTGGGCCTGCAGATGGGATTGCACCGAGGGCGGTATGGCATGCACATCCCAGATCTCTTCAAGAAACTTGGGCAGCTTGCGATTCTTGAGCTTGAGCGAGAAACACATCTCGGCATTCTGATTGCCCAGCGTGCGCAGCTCGGTGAGTATGGAGAGCAGTTTGGCGTAGAAGACGAGACTCATGGAGTCGCCGCAATGGCGATTGAGTATATAAATGCGTAGCGTGTCGATGTAATAGCTCTGTATCGCCTCAACCAGCTGGGCCTTCTCCAGGCCCGGCCGATCCGAGAAGATCACAATGGCAGTGAGTAGCGCATATTCCACATTGTCCACCTTCATTGAGAACATTTGACGGCAGAAATGCAGCAGATCCTCAATATTGTCCGCCATTCCGGCCATCTTGTACGAGTCGCGTGTGTACGATCGATTGTTCGCAAAGAATATCGAGTCGGAGTTGTGATCGTAGCGTCGGGCCATGCGCAACATCATCACTTCCGATGAGCAGGCCTGCAAATAATAATCATTTATCGTTATCGATAAATATATCGTTGAGCGATTGGCTCATTCCATTCGACGCGATACTCACCTTGAGTAACGTGATCTGATCCTCTTGGGGTATCTTTGTAAACGCTGGTAATCCTTTCGCAAACTCCACTATCAACTGCACCGTGAGTATGGTTATCTCGGTGATGTGCCGAAAACTGACATCCGTCTGACTCTCATTCTCATCCGGTTGACTCTACACGAGGGATTGAGAGAGGAGGGAAAATATAAATTGGAGATTTCACTTAAATTTGAAATCAATTTGCTGGACTAGCATTATTATTAAACAAAATTTGAATTTTAGTATATTTAGGGAATACCCATATAATACCAAGATATATGTGTGTTGAGTTACAGTAAATTGAGGGAATACCCATATTACATAATATCATTTGTAAGTTTTGTATGTTGAGTCTTAGTTTATTTAAGGAATACCCTTATAAAACGAAAATTTCAACAATTTAATATGTTGAGGTATTTGTTATTAAATTGTATATGAAAATATTTGTCAGTTTTGAGTTGAGTTTATGTATATTAAGGGAGTATCCATATTAAATCAAACTATTTGCTAAATTGTTTTTAATTTTCCTTTTTAAGGGAATTCCTCAGCAATGCGAAGCTATTCTCCTAATTTGTATATTGAGTTATAGTATATTAAGGGAATATCAATATTATTATAGTATTATTATTATAAGGGAAATTATTTTAAATTTTCTATAACTCTATTTGCCCATTTTTGAGCTGAATTATTATATTTAGGGACTACCCATGCTGAATAAAATTATTTGGCAGATTTATGTGTTGTTTAAGGGAACGCAATGCAAAGTTATCAAACTGACTTATGAAATATTATGTATATATATGTCAATAGATATATTGACATGCTACTTACCATAATACGCTTGAGATCCTCTTCGGATGGCTGCTCGTAGCCATCCTGATACCAAATTAATTTATATATAACGGCCAATTGATTGAACGTTAATGGAGGTATATTGCGCGCTTGACACTTGGCCAAAATATCATCAGGTAGTAGCTGGTTAAAGGGATTTATCGATTGAGATAAAAATGAGTATCGAGTTATCGAAATGTGCTGACAATGGGACCTACCGGAATTGTGGCATGCTGTGGTGCCTCGCACGTCATGAGGTCGAGTATCTCCTTCTTGACGTAGTCATGGGTGCCATGCAGTGGACCGCCGGCACCGCCAGCGCTGTGCTGGGAGCTGGGCGAACTGGAGACCTTGTCCTTCTCCTTTTGGGCCTTCTTCTCGCGCCGCTTCATCGCGCACTGGTTCTCCGGCACAACGCACTCCGGCCGCATGCCGACGGCCAGGCACTTCTTCAGCCGGCACTCCTGGCACTTGCGCCTCATGTACATGTCCATCTCGCAGGCCCGCCCAAACTTGCAGCAATAGTGCGCATTCTTGGTCACGCTGCGCCGAAAGAAGCCCTTGCAGCCCTCGCAAGTGAGCGCGTTGTAATGATAGCCGGAGGCTCGGTCGCCGCAGACCAGGCACAGCTCCTCCTGTAGCCGCGGCGCCGGGCCCTTCTTGCTCTTCTTCGCATCGCAGCCCTCGTTGGCGGAGTAGCCGTTGAGGCTGCTCGAGGGCGAGAGATCATCGCGACCTGCAAAGCACATGCAAGAAAAATTAAATACAAATTTAAATTAAAAGAATTACGAATACAAAATTCAATTTCGTTTTATTATTTTGCTCTTTTTTCACGATTTCCGTGAATTTTTAATATAAATCGATTTATTGTTGCTGTTCTTTTTGTTTTTTTTTTTTTTTTTTATGTATTGTCTTACATAAAACATTAGACCCAAATAAATAAATTTTGATCAGCTGAGCGGATTTGAGCGTTCGTTGTGTTTCAAAAATTTGCATGCCCAAAGAAAAATATATTGAGAGACTGTCACAAGCTCCTCCCTATGTAAACTCTGTCTAGCTGTATATCTACATCAGCTGCATCTGTATCCGTATCTGTATCTGTATCTGTTTTTTTTTTTTTCGTATCTGCAAACGGGGTCTCTAAGCGGGCAACATATAAAATCCAGCCAACAAAAATTTAAAATTCAATTAACGTGCGCTCAAAGTCGCGCAGCAATCATCGCATACAAAGAATTCGACTAGCTAAAAATGGATGAAATAAAAAAAAAAAATATATAGCCAAACAAATTCGCAAAAAGAGAAACTAAAAAATTCTTGAAGAGCTTTAGTTCTAGAAACCCAATCAATCTATAATTAAACAAATCCAAACTTGCTTGAGACTTGCTAAAATACCTAGGTGGGTCCCATGTGGATCGTAAGTGGAAATATGCTTTAAGCTTCATCAAAGTTTCATTAGGGAAAATACTTAAATTAGGTGTGGACTCTAAGTGGGTTACATCGCATGTGGATTCTATGTGTATTTTTTTAAAATTACATGCTAACATGATATGTAGATTGTATATGGCTTTTGTGTTTAACAAATACCTAAATAATATGTGGATTCTATGTGTAATTTGTGCAGAACAAATATTTGCACGAGTTGTGGATTTTATGAGAGACTGATAATATATTTTATAATCAAACATGGAATGTTGATTCTCTGGGGATCCTATGTGAGATACTGGCTACTGGCACAGGTCGATTCTATGCTTTTATGTTTAACAAATACCTAAATGAAATGTGGATACCTTTCCATGTGAATTTTATGCCTAAATATGCTTAAATGAAGTGTGGATACTTTGTGGATTGGGTCCTTGAATATTTTGGACTTAGATGAATTTAAGGGTTTTAAGACTAGTCTTCTAGAAATTTGGGCTGACAGTTCTTCTTAATTCCAGATCACGTGACATGTGGACTCTATGTGGATTGTATGTGGATTCTGTGTCGATTATATATTAATTCCGTGAAGCGAACATTTGCATAACTTAAAAAAAGTATTTCATAAAATATGTTTGACTTAGATGAATAAACGAACTAGAGGATTAACTGGACTCTTACTGCTGTATTATATGTGGATCCCATTCAGAACATGTCTTCTTTGTTATGTGGATTGAATATGTATGCTATGTGGATAATATTTAAGTGTGATTACTAATCGACATCAGCTTATCGATAATATAACACACAAAATCGATAGAATTTTTGTGTGGATCGCATGTGGTAAATCTATATATTGTTAGTTGAGAATACAATATTCAAGTTGTATCGATTATATATTGATTTTGACTTGTGCCCCGACAGGAAACTGTGGACTGTGGACTCTGAAGAGCGCTGGCTCAGACACATTATACAAATAGTCACGTTCGGGGCACACATTAAGAGAGCGTGGGGCAGGGGTAGGGGCAGGGGCCGGGTAGAGATGGCATGCGACAAAAAGCATATCAAGTGCAAGTTGTTGTGTGCAAAGACAGTCATAATCGGGCAGCCTGGCGGTTGGATGTCTGGGATGGATGGGCGAATGGAGAGGCGCGTCCTAAGTAGATAAAAAAAGATACGACAAAGAGGCGTTGCTGCAACTGCAACTGCGTGCGGCAGGCAGCAAGGCGACCAGCTTAACAGCAAGACACTCGACTAAGAAGCCAAAGCCCAAAGACACAGTCGAGCAGCAAAACACTTGAGCACAAGTGCAAAAGCTTTGCCACTCCAAAAACCACCTACCGCCGCCTGACACATGCAGCATGGTGCATGGTGAGTGCAACGCGGTGCATTGTCGGCATAACACAGTTTTTTTTTTTCTGCTTCTCTGCTGCAATGATATATTGCGCATACGCCCCGAACGCCCGTACGCTGGCTGGCTGCGCGCCTCTGGCACCCGCCGCGCCCACTTTCCCTGTGCCTCGTTTCAATTTCACTGCCACAAGAAGTAAAAAGAGAAGTAGAAAAGAAAAACTCGCGCTAAATAAAATGAAATAAAGTGCGGCGTCATGCAAACTTCGTCTGCTTCAGCGGCGACGCCAACTTGACTGCGAAATTTTCACTGCAGCGTGCAACGTGCAGCGTGTGGCATGTGCGAGTGTGTGCGTGCGTGTGTGTGTGTGTGTGCCGTTCGCATGGTAAATGAAAAATGCAGTAAATTGCTGTTGCGGCAAAGAAAAAGAGTGTAGCAACAGCAACAACAACAAAGGCAGCAGCAGCAAAAAAAAAAGTAAAAACCTGACCAACCACACACAATTATTATGTGTGTGTGTGTGTGTGTGTGTGTGTGTGTCTGTGTGTGAGTGTGCCTGTGTGTGGCTCCCTAGGCGTTGTTTTATCGCTGACAACGTCATGCAATGTTTGGCATTTTCATGGCTTGTTTGAGCTGTGCAACAACAACAACAACAACAACAACAACAACAACAACAACGTCTAAGCAACTTATTTTAATCGCCCTGCTCGAGCCATGACAAGCTTAAACTTGCCGCTGATAGCTTCAATTTTATGGAATTTCCATGATTAGAAATTGCAAGAATATTGATTACAGCTTTAAAAAAACATTAAATTGGAAAACCAAGAGTTTAAGCTTTGGGCTTTAGCTTATAGATATTAAGTTAAGTATTTGTGTATTTGTTGTTTGTTGGTGAAACTAAATTTAAGAAAGTTAACAACTTTTCTAAAGAAAACCATAAAAAGACTTTTCTACTTAAGCCCATAAGATAATCTTGTGGAACCTATTAGATTTGTTCGTGCACATATACAGAAAAAATATTAAAATTAGTTTGCAAATACTTTGTGGATTGTGTTTATGGACTACGTATGGACAGTGTGTAGACCGCATGAGGCTCGTTAACAGGAGTTTTATTTAAACCTCCTGCTTAAAAGTATTTTTTTCTCAAATATGTCATGTACTTTATATAATCTTGTGGATCTTATACAAATATTATCTTGATTTTTATCGATACTGTTTTTTAAGAAACATTGTTGCATTAATCAGGAAGGTATTTAGTCTGTGGAGTCCCCTAGATTCCTAGAAAATAAGTACATTTCAGGATCATAAATCAAGTCTCTTTTGGGAGACCTGCTTACATTTTAATTCATGTGGATCATATGCTAATGAAACAGATATGGTTCGAATTAAATTGTTAATATCGGCCACACTTTCTTTTTTTTCCAATTTCAAAGATAATATCCCACAAATTTTCGTTTAATATGCACAGAGGGAATTACAGTCCAATCGAAAAGTCAATTTGTGAATGTTTTAAGTACAAAATTATAATCGAGCACATTGTGGTTGGCGCCAGGTGGCGCTAGCGCAGCTGCTGTGGATAGCTACGCGTCAGCAGTTATTGGCCGCCATTTTGCGTTTGCAATTACCTCAGGGTGGAGGTGCGCTCCAGTGTAACGCATCAGCCAGATGAGTTATTATATTTCATATACAAAATACAAAAGGCTACAGCAACAGCAAGAACAACAACAAGAGCACACAATCACAGAGCCACATTTCATTTTTCACTATGAAAAGCCATTTTTCCAACTTGCACAGCGCCAAAGAACGCCATGAAGTAACAAAACAAAGGCGGGCAATGGGAAAAATAAAGAGGAAAAGAGTGGAAAAGAAGAAAGAAGTAAAACAAAAAAAAACTTATATATATATATAGACGCCAAGCACTGTACAAAAAACAAAACACAAAAGGCAGCCCAGCGGCGGCCTCCATGCATCCCTCTCATTCACTCCACACCATTCAAAAGCTGAGCCCGGCCTCTGCCCACATTTGGAGTTCATTGTGTTATTGTGCTTGCTTGGTCGTCTCTCGGTCTCGGTCTCGGCACAACGCTGCGCCGCACTACATACCCACATAATCCATGTAAACGTCCGAAAGCTACGCGGCAACAGCGACGGCGGCAGCGGAAGCGACAGAGCTAGAGGCAGCGACAGCGAGAGCAACAGAAGCCATAGCTATGGCCACGAGAGCACAACACAAACTGGGAAACTGCAGTCGACGTCGCTGCGGCCAGCCGCCAAACAACAAGCACAGCAGCCGCTGCGCTGGCGCTCATGCACTAATACATGCAAGCACCGTAGCAGCGTAGCACCGCAGCACCTTACATATGCATTCAGCGGGCGCGCACTCTCTCGCTCTCACTGCCTCTACTGTTCACTCTCTCGCCTGCTGTAACAGTGTTTGTTGAGTGCGCTCTCTAAGAGCGCGCCCTTGTTGCAAAGCAGAAAAATGTTGATGTAGGCCTCGAATATGCAGTTTGCCTTTGCCTTTGCCTTTGGCATTGCCACTGTCACTGCAAGCAGCGCTGCCAGCGCTGTGCTATGCAGTTCTGTTTGTTTGCTGCGTGCATTTGTGTGTGTGAATTGCATGACACACACAGTTTGAGCGTGGTATAGGTAAGTTCTCCCTTCTGTTTTCTGCTTTCTGCTCGTCCGTTTTGCGTGCTTTTTTGTTCTATGCCAAGAAATGAAACTTTTTTATCTGTTCTTTTTTTTTTTTTTTTTGTGTTTTATTATTTTGTGTTCTACTCTAGTCGTCGTATTCTATGGCAACAGTTTTTTTTGTTGCTTTTGCTTTGCTTTTTGTGCTTGCTTCAATGCATATTTTTAAGCGGCTTTTTGCGTGTGTGTGTGTGTGTGTGTGTGCGTGCATGTGTGGCGCTGAAGGGGGGCACGCTGTGCAAATAGCGCCTTTAGCTGCAGCGCAGCAAAATAAA